TAAGCTCTCACGTCCTATAGTTGGCTGGAAAAATTGCTCTTTGCCAATTTTTGCATTAAGGTCTCCAGCAATGATTTTCACGTCATGACGTGGACATCGATCATATTCTTTGTCTAAGGTGTCATAGAATTCATCTTTTTCATTATCCTCCTTTTCTTCCGTAGGTGCGTGTACACTAAGTAAGCTATAATTAAAGAATTTTCCTTTAAGACGTAGATAACATATTCTGTTGTTTATGGGTTTAAAGTTAAGGACTAATTGCTTTGCTTTTTTACTGACTAGAAAACCACTGCCAAACTCGTGTCGGCTGCTATGTCCGCTATAGTATATATTGTAGTCTCTTTTCTCGATGATTCCTGAACCAGTCCATCTCATCTCTTGAATCGCTACTACATCGGCTTTCATTTTATCAAGTTCTTGTGTTAGCAGTCTAAGAGCACCTGGGGCATAAAGGGTTCGTACATTCCATGTGCATATCCGTAAATCGTTATTCCGTTGTCGTTTGCTAGGTCGTCGTGAATTAAACAGTCCGGCTTTTCCACTTTGTGCTTTCATAACAATGAGTTTTTTTAAGGGAAGAGGTCGTTAACCTTTTGCCCAACCCCCTAATCTTCGAAGGACCATTTCTCCCACTCTCGTTTGCCCTGACTCTGCTTCCCACTGGGGTTGGTTACCACAATCTTCCACAGAGTTGCTCAGGTTACCAGGGTTCACCGCGTGGAGGTGAGAGTTGGAATTGAGTAGGAGAGGCTAGTGACGCTAACAGGATGCAGCGTCACATTTTACGCATCACTACCCCATTTGAACCCCAATTACTGCTCATTTGGTCATTAGAAATAAATAAAAATGGTTGGGTTGGTATTCTTCTAATTCAGGTGAGATTCATTAAAACTACAGCACTTGAAATTCGTGTGTTAATTTTACTTTGAATTATGATTTATTCACAAGAAGCAAAGTATAATGAACTAAATCTGAAAATAGTTTATTCAATTTATGAATGTACATTAATTTTGTTTTCAGATGTTGCTTGGAAAAACTCCAAAACCAGCGTTGCCATGGGGAAGGAAGTTGAAACTTGATAATGAAATATCTGAGGAACTATTTAAAGAGAGGGCAGATAAAATTTAACTTGCATGTTGCATTAGCAAATATGATTAATTTTGTAATGATTAAATTGTGTAGTTCATGGACACAAAGGAACAGTCCAATGTTTGAGACTGTTTTATATATTAAAAATAAATACCTAAAAATTAATCTACTGTTGAAAGAAAACAGACAAAGTTCCATATTAGATATTGATCTTTTTCATACTTATGATTTCAACTTTAAAACTCAACAATTGACTTGTCTGCTTTTAATTGCTGACCACACAATTGTAAGGGAAATCAGAATGGGAAGGGATAAGGGAAGTTGAATGGTTCTGTTTTTAAGAACCACAATTTCAACAATTTTGTCAATTTCTTTAGCAGTATTCACAATCCTTCTTTCTCTTGTGTAGACAAGTGTAGTCAAAGATCCCATATCAGTAACAGCCATATTCACTCTTTTAACTGTTAAAATTTGTGACGCATGCTTACAGTGTCTTAATACCAATAAAGGTCTTGGTCCAGACATAATATCTTAACTTATTTTTAGGGAATTGTGCATTCTTTTTATGTAGGCATCTATGGCTTATTTTTTATAAATCTCTAAATGAGGGTCACTTTTCATCACAATTTATTTATTGATTTTATCCTTAACTCATTGATTCCTAATTATCGTTCCATTATAATTCTTTCTGCTATTCCTAAAACTGTCGAGGCTTTACTGACTGATTTTTTGACAGTAAATTTGAAGAATCAGCTTCATACTGGTCAGCGTGGTTTACTTACTGTCTAGTCGTTCAACTTCAACTAATTTATACTGATTATGTTATAATTGCATTAAAAACCATTTTTATGTTGGTTAGATTTATACTGACTCATCTGCAAGCATCAACTGTTCTTGTAAATTGTGTAGACCATATTCTTATTCTAATATGATCAATTTCTTGAATCTGGATTCTCTTATGAAAAGTGTTACCTTTTAATCTTTATTTTTCAACTTTATAAAATAACCAATCTACTGAATTGCTTCAGCTAGTTTGTTTTCATATTCCTTCCCATTCACTGTGGCAGAATTTACATTTCCATGTTCCTTACCACAGAACTAATTATGTTTCACACATAGAGATGGTCTAAAACTTTCATATCAATAGCTTTAGGTACTATTTGAAGCACTTAAATGCTAAATGAAACTCATTATAAAATGTGTACTTATTTATTTTATTCATGTATATTTTATTTTATCTGTAATTTTGTCTATATTTCTACAATGTTGCATTTTTGTATAATTTTGACAGTGAATTTGTTCCATTTGTTAATAGTAAATAAATATTATGTAATAATAAATGTTAGTTCCTTTAAACATTTATGTTTTATTACACAAAATTATTTTATATTTCTATAATGTTGCATTTTTGCATAATTTTGACAGTGAATTTGTCCCGTTTGTTAATAATAAATAAATATAAATAAATGTAATAATAAATGTAATTTTCTTTAAACATTTAAGTTTTATTTCCCAAAATACATTCTTAATATGCACAGGATGACACCACTTTTAGTACTTTATGCAATGGCGTTGACGTCTAATTTACATCCTGAGCGCTAAAATAGATGTCCGAAAATATCACAAAAGTCCGTCAAGTAAGTTCTCTGGACGTATTATCGACGTCCGATTAAGGTCCAATTAACGTCCCGGTACGTCCATTTTACGTCCGCTCGGGACGTAAAATGGACGTCCATAGGACGTTTGGCGCAGCGACATTCGGACCAATATAGGACGTAAAACGGACGTAAATAGGACCAAAGCGGACGTTCGAGGGACGTCCCTAAAGTCCGCGAGGGACGTACTATGGACGTCCACTGGACGTACATGTGCTATTAGGGATAAAACAATTATCCTATAAACAGTAAGATAAACAATCTATAGTTATGCTATGCAATATGTGCTGCAATGAATCTGCTTATATGTAAAGTAAAAATATTCTTTTTTTTCCTATCCATGTTCTTATGTCTGTTGAACCAAAATACTTGACAACATTCCAGTAGAGTATATAATTAAAAACTTAAAATTTATTTTTTTAAAAACTTTCTTTATAAGATCATTACACTTAGTATACTCATTATCAAACATACCACTTATACTTAATATCTTAAACTTAAAATGAAAAGATTTGTACACTGATATGTTCCCAAAAACATGTAACACAAAGGTTGTTGTAGTTATATCTATAAATAGGCAACATAACCATTTTAACCCAACAAACAATTTTGATCAAACAAGAAGGGTACTATTAAAACCATTTCTCATGTAGCTCATAAATTTTAAATACAAAAACTATTTAGTAGCAACAATAATCTACCAGATTATAAAAATGAAACCTAGAAAATATTTTAGATACTTTTACCTATTTACTTACTTCAAATTGATTTGCCTCAAGAATTTATATAATAATTTAAATAAAAATTTTATTTAAAGTGGGCATTTCATTCTTAAAAAGAAGCTGGGTACTATCTGTCGTACAGATGTTTTAACCCTTTCATCGTATGTTGCAAGAGTGGAAGGTCGACCGTAATATTTTTAGGACATCTTAGTTTTCCAGTCTGCTTATATTCTTTTATTGTTCGGTAAATAGTTGAATTACCAACACCTAAAATTTATTAGCACATTACTTTAGTAAGTCTTGATTTTAACAATAACTGTGTTGCAAAACTAACCTACTGCCTGTTTTATTTTTACTACCGTGGCTGTTATTTTCATTCCAGAATTATCAATTTTCATTTGTTTGTACATGTTTACAATACATTGTTTTTCTTTTGATGATAAATGACCCAAATCTAGTCGGCGTGTTTAAGGTGAAGAAGAATAATTACTACAATCACTTGGCATTGAATCCATATTGTTATCTTAATAACACGAGTATGTCGCTAAATAGTTCTGAAAAGAACTGTTTTTTTTTTATATAAATGCAAACGAAAAATCTAAAAATGTAAGAAATAACGTAGAAAATACAAAAAATCGTCGATATAAATTTTGAGTTTTAAAATTTCACAAATTTCATTAGTGTCAATATGTCATAATTTAGTGAAGTAAACTTGCCTGCGGTTGGGCCAATTAAAAACGAGCATTACAGCGCGAAAAATTTGAATTACTCCTGGTTAAAAAAAAAAATCATAGTAACCCTTATATCACGACTATTAAAAGTAAAATGAATATTCTTCTATCGATTTATAAAAGGTATAAAGGATAAAATCGTGGAACAAAACAAATTGTTTGTAATAAGGAAAATTACATTTTCAGACAAACTCACCCTGGCTCAACTCTAAATTTGATTTTTTTCTGCTTGTTTCATATGATATTTTTAGTAAACAAAAACGCAGAATTGATAAAATTATGGTTGAACTTCGTATTGAAATCCAACAGTCTATATAGACTGGTATTGCATTTTGGTAACAACCTAAATGCACAACAACATAATTTGTTACTTATAATTATTTGTTGTCATTGGTAATTATATTATTTGTTTAGTTTAGGCACATATAGAAAAAAGTATCTACATCAATTTATTGTGAAGACGTTTATAACCTTTCTATTTTTTACAAAACTACTTTTAAGACCATTGCTAACTAAGATTCTGACGATAATTTTATTAATCTATTATATTTGCTAATTTTATTATAGTAATAAATTAGAGATTTCTTACAAACTTTGGCTGATTTTTTGTAAATATAGTGCCATGAAAGTTATCGGTTCAAAAATATGGAATGTAAATATAAAAAAGGTTACCTCATAATCATAACAAATAAATATCAAATGAAATATAAAAAAGTCATCTATAATAAATCTTAACTCTATACAAGGTCAATCAAATTCCATTTTGAAGAGTTTGTAATTATCAAGTTAGTATACATTCAGATATTTGTTGAACAAGTTGATATTCGTTTTTATTTGCGCTATACAATTTTTTTACATATTTGTGGAAATCATTTTGTGATAACTAATAATTAAAGGTAAGTCATAAAAATTAATTGATTTTTTCTTCATTTTTACTATAAGTTGTGGAATATTAGGAAGTAGATTTTTAATTGAAAACAATAATTATCTACTGCTACGAATTAAGCTAGTTACGCTTCGGATATTGCATTTTTAGATCAACCAGTTACCATATCCAATATATCAGGCTTCTGTAAATATTTTTTTATTTTACTATTAAGTTACATACATTTTATTTTTCGTTGAAATAATGTCATAGCACAGGCTAGTAAAAGTTTTCCAATAAAACATTAAAACGGGCACTAAAAAAAATACACACACAAAGGACGAAGATGGATGATAAAGAATGACTATGATAAGTAGAAAGCGCGGTGAAATAAAATGGTTAAAAAATTACACTGTATAAGAACAAAAAAGTACGATTTTTTTAAAAGTGAAAAAGTAAATGTATTTACCGGGGATTTTATACGAACTGAAAAGCTCAATCTTCTATTAAATATGACGTAATTGGGAACTGTTTTATAATCGGTCTTGTTAGTTATAAATATTGTAGAATGAAAGCTAATCCCAATTGTAGTGTCGCTCTTCACGTTTTCTTTTTTGGTAAGTTTCGATCTGGGCTCCAAAATGAAAAAAAAAAAAACAATATTACACTATTTTGTGTTTAATATTCATGTATTGCAATAACTAACTGTCTATTTTATCTAACTAGTTCGCAGTTCGCAGACTTCCTTGGATGACCGTGCATAAACTCTATCATTTTGCTTATTGAAATTTGTCTCCAGACTAATTTTTTTTTATCTCTAAATAGAGTTTCTTTGTAACGCGCTTTATTGTACAACGACAACAGGCGTCTTGATTTTTTTCCTATTTTGTTTTAGTGCAACGATAAAGAGTTCTATTATTTGTCGATTGAAAAACCCAAGTCTTAAGTCTTGTTTGATAATATAAGTCTTGGTTTTTGGGAAGGATCTTTGTTAATTGTTGACTTTACAGTGTTAATAATTTGTGAAGCACGGACCACGCAAGGCCTATTGGACGGTTTTAGTATTTTAAAAATACGAGCTCTTTCTATTTTACAATTATGAAAAGCAATACGGTTCTCCTTGTCTGTCAACTCTATCGTAACGACTTACTATCGAACTAGACTGAAAAGTTTTGGAGTATTTATAATGTACATGTCAACAGTCATAAATGTCAACATAACTTTTAGCTGTGTAGAATTTGTCAGTCGTACAAGCCGCGTTGTATGGCTTGTACTAACAACAAAGTAAAGTGGCGTTTAAATAATCAGATGACAAATACTGTCTAAAAAATATGTAATGATAAAATCATGTTCAAAATGAACATTATGTCAGTGTTGAATTATAAATTTTGAAAAAAATCTGTTTATTGATATATATATATATATATATATATATATATATATATATATATATATATATATATTGTTATGATATCTAAAATCGAGAAAAATATTGGTTTGATTAAAGTGTTTCAAAGTTCAAAAACATTAAAATAATTCAGATAAGTAGGATAATAACCAACAAACATTTCGAAGAAAGAAAGTTTTTAAATTTTTGGATTACCTGTATTAAACAAAATGTAAGCTATGCATAAATTATTTCCTTTGTTATACTATACTTGAGTGACCCGCATAATTTTGAGTGAAATCCAAAGAACAATTGAACCGGGTTTTCCAAATACATTAACGCAGCGATTAAAGACAATAGAAGAGGTTTTAGAAAGAGGTTTTTGTTAGTTTTTAAGAATTGTAGAAAAATATTATTTGTAAATAAGTTTTAGGAAATTTTATAATTATAGGTAAAAAGTTGTTTGTTATCGAAATGAAAAAATGGGGAATTGTGACGAGTTTTGATTGGCGGAGATTAAAAAAGGTGGGATAGGTATGTAGGAATGAAAGTTTAGCTAGATTTAGGAGTGAGAAAAGATAGTCAGTTGGCTTCCAAGGGTGCAAGGCGAACGGCCGTTGTTCTCGGGTAGTTTCCCAGAGGTAGGAAGCAGTAGCAGTGAAAGTTTGTGAGTTTTCGTGTAGTTAGTGTATCTGACAGAAGCTGATCCAGTAAAATATTGTAAGTCATATTTTTCTACTTATACTCCAAGAGTCACTGTTCAGGCCAACGAGAGATTCAGTTTATCGTAAAGAAAAGATATTCCAAGAGTTATTTTTCACTCAGGCCAACGAGAGATTCAGTTTATTGAGAGAAGAAGAAGCTAGCATAATTTAAACGATTCGTGCATTTGAAGAAGATCATTAAGGACGAGAGATTTGCAATAATTTATTGTAAGATTGCTGATTACTTAGGGAGCGGCCACGAGTAAATAATATAGTCTACAAATAACAAGGATTTGGACCACTCATCATCAGAGAGAGATAGTTTTGTTTTCTGCAGTTTTTCTTTCATTGATAACACAATTTTTACACTTAATTTAGAAAGGATATAAATATTTTAATTAGGAGATTTAAATAATATTTGGTTTTTGAGATTTCAACTAATATTGTTTGTACCATTAATTTTGAAGGTTCACGTACGTAGAACAACATTTTGAGAATCATTATATGAGATTTGTTTATCGAAAACATTTGAGTGTGAATTATTTCATTATTTTATTTCAATATATAGTGTTATATCATATATGTGTTTTTTATTATTCCGGTATTCTTTGGACCTTACCTTTCACATGTAATAGCATAGATATTGAAGCACGAATAAAACCCTGAGATAAGAGAATTAGAAATTGTGATAGAATCATAATCATATCATTTAAATAATTTTAATTAATCAAAAAAATTAATTAGCTAATTATTGCTTGGCGCACCAAGACTTTAAAGATCACAATAACTGGCTTCCAAAACGTGGGGCTTGAAAATATCGCAGCTTTACATGTGAAGGAAGGCAAAGAGATCTGGAATAAGTACAGGTGATCCAGAGATAAAAACATATAACATTGAGGGAATTTGAATTTGAAAGTATTTTGACAATTTTTCCAGGGAATATAAATTTGATTTATTGATTGATCGTAGTTAGTTGATATTTACTGCTATTGAATTATTTGATTTTATTTTACCAATCGTACGTTTGATATTTATTTTGAGTTATTTGAATTTTACTGATTGCATATTTGATATTTGTCGTGAAAATTTATTACAATTGGGGAGAAATATTGTCGTGTTCTGCAACATATAGAGTGTTGTAAAATTTCACATTTGGCGGGGACAAAAACAGTAACGAAAAGAAACAACATGTCGACCACAAGGAGTCAAAGCAAAATGCAAGAAAGGAAGGAGGATAACAGAGAAGAGGAAACAATGTTTGAAGAAGGATCGGATAATGAAGGAAATGTTACAATAATAGAGGAAAGAAAAGAAACAGGGATGTTAGAAAAATTATTAGCAATGATGCAATTACAGACACAACAAATACAAGAATCAACAAAACAGGCCATACAAGAAAACCAGAAGGAAACAAAACAGGCCATACAAGAGAATCAAAGGGAAACATCACTAAAAATAGATGAAACAAAGCAAACAATAGAAGAAAACAACAGGAATATAGAACAGCGTTTGGAAAATTATGAACATAAAATAAAAGGATGTGTAGAGGAGATAAAAAGAGAAATGATACAACAGATAGGAGAGATTAATGAAATTAAGATTAAGATGGGAGAACAAGAAAAGAAAGTAGAAAACAAGATGAAGGAGATACGAAATTGCCAAAAAAAGGAATTAGAACAGTTAGAAGAAAAATTTGAAATAGCGTTACAAGAAGACAGGAAAGAAATGGAAAGGAGATTAAAGCAAAATGAAAAGCAAATGGCAGAAATTGAACTGAGAGGAATAGAGAGAAAAGAAGTTATCGTCCATGGAACAAGCGAGGCGAAAATACAATTTGGCGGGGATATTCGGAAAACACACCCAGTACCATTTGTTAAAAATTTGAAAACCAAATTACAACATATTAGATATTTTGACGATTGCAAAGAAACAATTAGAAACCATTTGAAAGAAGGAGCAGCGTTATGGTATGAAAGCAAGGAAGATGAGTTTGAAAATTGGACAGATTTTGAAAATCAATTTCTCAACTATTTCTGGGGGAAAAATAAACAGAGAGAAATCAACCAAGAGCTACAGAATGGAAAATATCACGAAAAAATGGGAATATCTGAAGAAAGATATGCTTTGCAGATATATAACAATTCAAAATATCTAGAATACAAATATTCTACCGAACAGCTGGTAGAAATGATCAGCAGACATTTTGAGGAAACGTTGGAAGATCACGTGATTTTGAGAAACTATCAAGATATTGATAGTTTGTGCCAATTCCTTCAATTAAAAGAAGCGAAGAGAAGAGAAATGAGAAATAGAAGACAACATGACCAATATAATGGATCGGAAAGAAGGTATTCATCTAATTATGACCAGAGAAACCGACATCCCAGATCAACAAACGAATATAGGCCGAGAAATTACAATAATTACAATAGACAACAAAATTACGATAACAGGAATGACACACAAAATAGAACATATGAAAATCACAACAGGAATAGAGATGCACAAAATCCTCCGAATAGGAATACTAACGAACAAAGGGACGATAGAAATAATCAGAGCTTCCAACAACAAAATAGAAGGGAGATGAATCATGTAGCAATAGGAAACGAAAGACAAATTTCTAATTCTAATCTAATATTTTTAGATGCATTTATAAAACATAAAGCGATTAAAATTGTGATTGATTCTGGATCGGAGATATCGCTAATCAATAAAAGACTAGTAAAAGAATTAAATTTGGACAGATTTGTGTATAAGATTCCTAGGGTTGATTTAGTGGGTGCAAACAATAAAAATTTGACGACAGTAAACGAAGGTTTGGGAGTACAGATAAGAGTGGGAGACAAATTCCATATTATGAAATGTGTGGTGATTGAAGATTTAAATCATGATATGATAGCGGGAATTGATGAATTGAGGAAAAAAGATATCACCATA